ATATGCTAAATGATTCAAAATTTATCTATTAAATAAATTACCTTATCCAAAATGATAAAATTCCTATAATTTACCCCGGGTCCACGTGCTCGGATTCTAAAAATTTTTGGATGAAAACGTTACCCATAATCTCAAGAACTTAAATATATAATTTTTATCCAATTCCATAACTATTTTTGTGGTTAAAATCTCACTTTTATAAAAATCTAGGTTTTTCATCTAAATCTTTGATTTCTAAGATTTACTAGTTATAATCTACTTATAATCTATGTATTTAACTCAAGGGGTGTGGAATTAACTTACCTTTCAATTGCTAGTTGAAACCCCCTTCTAAAAAGCTCTGAAATCGCCCGAAAATGGAGGGAAAATGGGCTCAAAATGTTTGAGCCCCGACTTTTAACCTTTCTGCCCAACAATGATTTTCGCACCTGCGGAAGAGGTACCGCACATGCGGCTTTCGCACCTGCGGAAATTCCTCGCAGGTGTGCATTTTTCCTCTTTTCCTGGTTTCGCACCTGCAGAAGAAGTGCTCGCTTCTGCGCAAGCGCAAGTGCGCCCATTCCTTCGCACCTGCACATTAGGCCTTCGCACCTGCACGTTCGCAGGTGCGCCAAAATACCTCGCACCTGCGATGGCTAGGCAGGCTCCTCTCCTTCGCACCTGTGATTGGTGGCTCGCACCTGCGAGCTCGCATCTGCGGTTGTCCAAGCGCAGGTGCGATTATGACAGTAGCTGGGAGCTTCAGTCCTTGCTCAATTTTCCAAAATTGGTCTGAGCCTCGTTCGGTTAACACTCGGGACCCCCGGGGCCCCGTCCGAACATACCAACAGGTTTAAAATCATAAAATGGACTCGCTCAAACTCTCGGAACATGTAAAACAATATCAAATTTAAGAATCATACCCTAAACCAAATTGAGTTAAACTTAAGAATTTCAAGTTCTTCAAATTACTTCCAATGCGCCGAAATATACTTAAACTACTCGGAATGACACGAAAATTTGCGTGCAAGTCTTAAATCACTATACGGAATTATTCCCAAACTCGGAATTCCAAACGGACTTCAAATACTCAAAATCCTACTCCAAATCAAATTTAAAGAATTTTAAACCTTCATATAGTTGATTTTTACTATTAAGCGTCAAAACGCTCCCGGGTTATCCAAAACCCGATTCGGACATACGCCCAAGTCCAAAATCATCATACGTACCTATTGGAACCGTTAAATCCCGATTCCGGGGTCGTTTTCTCAAAATGTTGACCGAAGTCAAACTTGTCTATTTGAAGCTAACTTAAGGAACCAAGTGTTCCGATTTCAACCCTCACACTTCTAAATCCCGAACCAACCATCCCCGCGAGTCATAAATTAATAAAAGCATGTTCGGGAAGTCTTATTTTAGGAAACGGGTTTCTAAAAGTTAAAATAATCGATTGGGTCATTACAGTCGAGAAACGGTCTCGACCTCTGCTAATTCGGTATCCTCACCCGATTTCTTTTTGGAAGCCTCCACGACAGCTTTCCTAGGTTGGACCGTCAGTGCCGAGGTATTTTCCTCTTCTTCTTCTTCTTCTTCTTCGTCTCTGAGTTTTTGGACCGAGTCCATCGTGAGAGCAATTACTTTCCTCCTCACCCTTCGAGGTTTGGGCTTGGGGTCCTCAAACTGCGAGGCATATTTCCTCTTCTTGTCTTCCCTCGGCTTCGGAACCGGGGACTTGGTTTCTTCCTTGCCACTTGAAGGCCTCAAAATGGCATCCTTAGTCAGGCCTGCATGAAAGAAAATTAGTGATAAATGGAGTATAAAATGTGTTTCAGAACATGAAAAGGGTGATCATTACCATGGTTCTTGGCCTCCTATCAGCCCTTTTCCAAATCATGCCATGCGCGTTCGGCATATGTGGAAGTTAAGGCTAACTTCCGAACCCAATCTTCGAGGTCAGGTACCGCTTGAGGCATCAAAGGAACAGTTGCATGTCGAAAGGGGATGTCAGGCGAAGTCGAAGAAGGTACAAAGGACAAAGTTTAAAAGATCACTAACGGTTGAAGTTCCACTCCTTGAGGAACGACATCTTCTCTTCCGGGATAATGTCACAGGTCCTCACCCGTATAAAACGGCTCATCCAACCCCGATCCGTGTCCTCGTCGATGCTCGAGATCAAGGTCTTTATTTCCCGGCATTGGAGCCTGATTAGTCCTCGGTAGATTTGAGGCCGGTACAACCGAATGAGGTGATTAAGAGTGAACTCTAGCCCCTCGGTCTTGCTAGAGAAGAAGCGCATCATGATTACTATGCGCCATAGAGAGGGGTGGATTTGGCCGAGGGTAACCTGATATCTTTTACAGAGATCAATAATCACTGGGTCGAGGGGACACAATGTGAAGGGGTAAGTGTAAACACTTAAGAACCCCTCCACATAAGCGGTGATGCTCTCTTCGAGAGCAGGAATTTGCACCACGACCTCGGGAACCCAGTTGCAGTCCCTTTTCACGGCCTCGAGGTGGCTCTTCGATATTGAGCACATGTACATCGACACATGCTCACATCGGCTCGGGATCGATGAAGGGTTTTCGACTTTGAAGTCGGATTTTAGAGTACACGGGCCAGGAACATATTCATGGGGAAGCGGCTCTGCCGGTGCCTTGCCGCCGAACGAACGGGAAGAGAAGCAAGAAACTTTCTCCTTATGCGGTACAATCTTTGAGGTTTTCGCCATTTGTATAAATAAAGAAGAGCGAAGAAAGATGAAAAGCTAGTGGTTTCGGTGCTAACGGTGGCTCTACAGATGGCGAAAGGGAGGAGACGAAAAGAGTGAGAATAGTTAGAGAATTGATTAGAGCAAAGTAAAGTTTGATTCAATGAAGGAGCGGGTATTTATAGGTTCACGGCGACGGTTCGGTGGCGTTAGTGGCCGACCACTAACTGACAAGCATTAATAATTTGGGAAACTGAATTGACGGGACATTTCGATCACATCTGTCACTTACGTCATAAGGACGACATCATGATCTAGGTTTCGGTAAATCAAGGCTCAAACCATTTCTTATCATTTTATTTCAAGAAACGCGGGAACTATCTGTATACGGTCGAAATCGAAAATGTCAGATTTCATAGGCACGAGGAGCTGCCTCGAGAGTAAGCTCATGATAGACCAGGTTCGAGCTCAATGGAAGCAGGGGCGGCCCAAGAAGATTGGTGGCCTAAAGCCAATTTTTAATTTGGGGCCTTTCAGAAGGAAAAAAAATTATCATAACATCGATGATTCATTCCGATGTTCCTGCACATAGAACAACACAATTTAGCACAATTGTTGCATAATAACTCACTTAAACCAACAAAATATAGGGCGAGTAATGTGCTAAAAGTATAGAATTTTGGCCTAACATTAGTTGTTAATAGTTTTTTATATAAATAATTTAGTCTCTCCTAAGATATTGTTGATCTTAGATAATAGAACCAAATTCATATAGATATCTCACTAATGATGTCACTCGTAAAATTTAAATAATGAAAAGTTTTATATTCGCGACAAGGGTTTAGGGGGAGTGATTCTCTTTCTGCATTTTTTGCTCAAACGGTTACATCACTACTAAATTAAAAGTTATCTTGAATTTTTATAAAATATTTTATTTTTTATTTTAACATACCCAATATATTTAGACCCTGCCTCTAAAGATTGTTGTGAGATGTATTTGATCCAACTTACCTTAATTAAATATATTGGGTTCGAGTCCTGTGGTTAAAACAAATCCTGTTAAAACGTGTTTTCTCTTTTACTAGGTCTTACGCGGTACGAATCTAGATTAGTCGGGGTCTCAATACAAATACAAGTAGAAAAACAAAAGAAAATTTTGGGGCCCTCAAAATTTGGGGGCCTAAAGCCTTTGCTTTAGTGGCTTGACCCTTGGGCCGCCCCTGAATGGCAGAGTATGGAGCATGAATATCGAAATGCTCGCTGAAGATCGAGACCGAGCATGACCGACTTCGAGTAAGGCATAATAACGGAATGACGAAATATTAGCAACCGACCGAAGATCTCGGCGGAAATCCCGGAACATATCGAATCAAGCGGTTATTGACGCCAATCATGGGATTTGTTTCCGTTATAAGAATTGTACCTTATTTAGGATTCCTCTACTATATAAAGAGGTACCCCGTTCATTTGTATGGGGATTCACTGAAAAAGATATGCAAAAATGCTGCTCTCTATTTTACTTACTATCCATTTATGTTCATCATTGTTTATCTTCCGCTCTTTACTATTCTTCTTACCCAACCTCGAGACCATCTCGAATCGAGGTCGAAAGTATGCTAGAACACTGGTTTGATTTATTTTACTATTCAGACTATTTATTCAATTCCTTGTTTGTCAATTGGTATTGGATAAAATCACGTATCCTTAAAATCACTAAATAAGTTTAATTGTTACTCGAATTTTAGGGTAAAAATACCTCTAACTAGGAAACAATGTCAAACTTCCCAACTTGTTAAACTATTAAGAAAAGGTATGTTGCTCAGCGTTCGCCTCATGCTCAGGGCAATTCCACATGGCCTTGATTATAACCACCAAAATATTAGGAAAAGGTTTGTTGCTCAAACTCTTCCAAATCCTTACCAATGTACATTTATTGGTTGTATGTAAATACGTGTATCCATTCTCTTATTCATATTTACAAATCCTAAGGTTTAGGTGATGACAAATCCGATCTCTAGAGCCACACTCGTCAAGGTAAAAAGTCTACGCTAAGAACTTATCCCTTCTTCATACTCAGTCTCAAAATGGTGTTATGTCATTCGAACTTCAAACAAATAATTTTCACGAAATTAATTTTACATCTATAGTACAACTATTCCTTTATCCTACTTTCCAACAATACAAAATATGGTCTCAATTACTCTTTTGGCAACTGAACCTGTCGACGTCTGAGCATGATATTTTTTGACAAGTAGCAAAAAGTTGAGCTGGGTTATTGGAAACAATAGTATATCTAAAATTGACAAAAGCATTTAGAAACAGTAAATTATTCAGATAGAAGTAAAAAGAAAATAACAACCATCAATCCTAAGAGGAAACATAACTCAGTCCTAACAACTAGAAAACAATACGTCAAAAGTTCATAAATTGTTTATAAAGGCAAGTAAAAGGCCTCTAAATTGCTAGCGTTTGCCCTGTGCTCAGGGCAATTCCACACGGCCTTGACATAAACCACCAAAATGAGGACATGCTTCCAGTGGTGCAGAGAGATGGTCAATCAACCTTGAAGCTTCATATCAACTTGACAATAGCTTGAGTTTTCAGACAAAGCCATAAACTGCTCATTAAATGCTTCAACCAAAGAAGGGAACTAGCGACGTGTACAGGGAGCATCCCTTTCAAGTTTCAACCTCACAATCCAATTGCTTTTCGTTTTCCATTTCAGGCTTATCTGAAGAATTTCTGGAACAGAATACAAATACCGTGAACGGAAACAGCAGGAGTTAAGAGGTGCAGATGTTGCTAAACTAGGATTTGCCTTTGACATCAAATGTCTAAATATGGATATAGGGAAATGCCAGTGTAACTAGTGCCAGAATGACAAATTGACAATGATGAGCAACTATCTCTAGCTAAGACTGACTTTCAACATAAAACATATTTGACAAAGATACAGTGAATTTTATCGTAAAGATAAGACAAGGTTGCATATACATTACTGCCACGATATAAACATACACAGAAATAGAATATTTCTAAGTTTTCATTAAGGTTTTTTCAACTAATTTGGTCTCAGTAAGTTTCAAAATTGCTTTATCTAAACCTCTCTTGGCCGACGAATTATTTTCTGAAGAATTTTTATTACATGATAAGTGTTTACATGTTAGAGCTGTAAAATCACAGATTACAATTTCAACTTAGAGAATATCAGCAATCTTTAATTATCAATAACCAAACTAACAATTCGAGTTCCTAAATTGAAAAGAACTTCAAAATTCACAAACGAGACTCTGATTCCAAACAAGCAAATAGTAACTAGCAAGATTCCTCGTCACTACACTGTTTAAACTGTTGACATATTTATTTCTAGAAAATAGGGAAAAGAAAGAGAAGAAAAGAATAAAGGGACTTACGCTGGAAACTTTTAGGCTTCAGCATGAAAGGGTGTTCGTATTTCATATAGACAATGTAATAAGGAACCAAATGAAATAACTAGTTAAGACAAAAAGAGAACTTATTTCTAAATATTCATAAACATAATGGAAACTACCCTCTCAATTTAGAGCATATTCAACAATTTTGTCATCTGGATGAACTCCTTCGCATAGTTTTTATTTTGAATCATTTCACTCATGTTGCCTTGCTGCCTTGGTATTCACCAGATCTAAGAGTCTTACCTAATTCTGGATGAAGGAAAAAAAGATCAACAGAAAGTATCACCTTTGATAAGATCGAGATCACACCATCTGAAACTTTCCTTAGCGGGAAAATCTACGAGTGAATTCAGGCAAGCCAAAGTGCATTTTGGTTTCAAAGAGTTCCTGCACATGTAGATCTAAATGTCAGTTGAATTGAAATCTTACTGGAAACACTAATTCATTCGAGACTTTTCGATTAAGCGTGGATAATTGCTTAAATAATTTTATTATTTCATTTCAATGTTTTAGCTGGAACGATTGGCTCAGCAACTCTCAATAACTCAATCCAACTATGCCTCTGTCCCAAATCAGATGGATCGGCTTATGTGCACAACTGCACATTGTATATTAATTCTGCACTCTCTGGGCCCTATATTGTCAAAGGCTTAGTTGAAGCACGCTTAAGCCCTAAAGATCAAAGAAGCCCTAAATTAGATACTTATTCGAAGCACTAAGTTGTGCGCCTCATTGCCCATAAGTTCTATCTTGAATAGAGTGGTACAAAACAATAAATAAGATTGGCAAATAGACATTATTTGTTAAGGAAAATAATTATGAATGAAGTTGTAATATTTTTCTGGCATTACCTATATTTTTATTTATTTTTTAATTGCGCCTTTTTTAGCTAATGCCAACACTTTAATTCTGTTTTGCGCTTACAGCCCTGATAGACCCGGAGTGCTTTTTAACCCTTTTCGCCTTTGACAACACCTTCTGGGCCTAACAACTCTACCAGAGAAAAGCATGAGAACCAATATTTCAAATTGCTTAGTTCTTAATCACAAGGTAAGTAGGAATTTTGTTTATAATCGGTTCAAATTCAATTTCTTTCCTCTTTTAAAATCTAGGAAATCCTATAAACCTGAATAAAATCAATTTATTTCATCTCTGGAAGTCCAATTTTGGCATGTAATACCTTATCGATGTAACAAGTGTCAACATATCAGTTTTGTCAATCAGGGTTCAGATTTATATAATCGTAGTTTGCCAACTAATAACAAATGAAATTTATAGTCAAATGAACTAGTCTTTTTTCTATTTCTCCATTTTGCTATTGGTTGGTAAAGTACAAAGAAAAGCAATTCCCACCCCTCAATTCACCATGCCGAGCTCTAAATATTAGACCACCTTCCAATATTATCAAAGGCGTAAAGCGCAAAAAAACTCTAAGGTCTGGTGGGGCTTTAAGCGCAAATAAAGCATGGGTTTTAATTTTTAAAAAAGGCGCAAACGGAGAAAAACTACAGATATGTATGTGTAGTCCAAGACTAATATCTATAACCATGAATACCAAATATATGGACAAAAAAATTAAAAGAAAATTTACGATAAAGTAAAATATCAATTGTTTATTGTCGACTCTACACGATTACGCTCATTTGCAAGGAAATATATGCCTTAGAGCCTTGATGACAACACTGAAGCGCCTGCTAAGAGAGGCAAAGTGCTCAACATGTTTTGAGCCTCACTTCAGGGCTTAAGCGCACTTTAAGCGCGCCTTTGATAACACTGCCACCTTCTCATTTTCTTCCCTTCATAATTCGGTGGGAAATCTGGACAGGGATTAACATATCCCCTTACAGATTAGAATGCATTTATTTATTTTTGGTACAAAATTTTGTCTTTGCTCTATTTACCCTGTATAAAGCCATGCTTCTCTTACTTTTACAGGCATCAACTTACTTTTGAAGCTCTCTTCACCAGGAATAAAACTTCAAAAGCCAGCAGCACCAGTGACTGCTCCATCATTTTAACTCCTCCCCAACCTCTTCTTTTCTAAAAACAGAAAAGTGAGGAAGAGAAAAGGAAATCAGCCAAAGATCCCAAGTTTCAGCCACCGAGGAAAATGTCAGATCATATCCCAGAAGAACTGATGATCCAAATCCTCTCAAGGCTCCCACCAAAATCTCTTCTCAGGTTCAGGTGTGTATCAAAATCATGGAACTCTTTAATCTCAAGCCCTGAATTCATTCGGCAACACACCCAACAAGCGATTCTTTCAAAAAACCCTACACATAAAATTCTTAGATACTTCTCAATTCCTCAAAAGAAGGAACTTTATTCCATTCGAGTCAATAATGCAATATTCAGTATTGACACCAACATAAACATACGATCCCCTTTCAATGACACAACGAGGCATTATTTTAGGATCGTGGGCTCTTGCCACGGCATACTTTGTTTGTCTGATGATTTATTTGGATATTCACATGTTTTAGTACTATGGAACCCTGCAATAAACAGATGCCTCCGTCTCCCAATGCCTCCTCTTGATTGTAGTCAGAAAGGGAGATATATGTTTGTGTTTGGCTTTGGCTTTGATATAAAAAGCAAAGATTACAAGGTTGTTAAGATGACCTATTCTCAAAGTCGAGGAGCATTTTTGCTGCCACCTAAAGTTGAAATTTTTTCACTTAGTCTGGGAATTTGGAAGCAACTTGATGGTTTTATTCCAGAGAGCTACATTGTGGAGTACTTTTATAAACAAGCTGTTGTTCATGGGAAAATCCATTGGACTGGTTACAAAATCGATGTTGAAAGAAAAAGGATGAAGAATTTGATTCTGGCATTTGATTTAAGTGATGAGATTTTTGTGGAATTACAATTACCAGAATGCTTGGTTATTGGAGCACCTATGAATCTGAATACAGCAGAGTTTGGGGAATCACTTGCTATATATCACTACGACAAGTGTACTTGGACCCGGATTTGTTCAATTTGGGTAATGAAAGAGTATGGTGTTGTCGAGTCATGGAGCAAGGAATTCAATATCGTTCTTGACTGGGAACCTGGAATGATTCTGGGCTTTAGGAACAACAGTGAAATACTTTTGACAAGAAGAACAGGACAGCTTGTGTCTTATAATCTCGAGACACATGAAAAGATGAATTTTGATATAATTGGCACTAAAAACTCATTTTTTATGGGAACTTACAAGGAAAGCCTTATTTTGCTCAATGAAGGACAGCTACTGTTGCCAAATGATTTTTCATCTGAGACCGACCGAGATGAATGCAAGGACTATGACATTGAGAACAGGAATGCTCAAATGAGTGAGTTATGGTACCAACTTGTTATGCACCAGTATCTCACTACTGTTTTGGAAACCAGACATATTTAAGCATTTGTTAGAATCACACCAAATAAATTGGATTTAGTTTTTGTTTAGTTTACCATCTGTATTCATTGTGCTGTCGCATTCTGTTTTTTGTTTATCAAAGCTATGTCCGACATGTTGATCCATTCCAGTTCTCATTCATCATTGGTATGTTTATTGTGTTGGTCCAACACAATTCTATGTTCAATATTTCTACTTTCATCAATCTCTATGACATTCCATGTGATTTTTAAACATAGAATGATGTTATCAAAGGTGAAGGCCTTAGCCACTGTATTTTAACTTTGATGGGTTAAAACATAGGCTCGTATTTACAATGTTCGTATTTCAGATAGTTCCAATAGCAAAATAGTGTCTACGAATCATAAAGCCAAGGCATCCAATAAGAAAACAAAGTTTTAGTTAAAAAACAGGGCTTGCAAATCTAATTGTTGACCAAGTACATCAAAAAAAGTGATATACCCAAGTTGCATACTTTGTCCACTTTCTATCCGAGTAAGCTTCGTACTTAAGAATAAGATCTGGTCAAATCTCATTTTCCTTTTCCATATCTCTTTGATATAACTGAAGCACACAAGAGGTCCAGGTGTGGCATTACGTTCTGATATGTAACCTTCCTTGAAAGCCCAAGGACACTTCTGCTTGATATTTTCTTCTCAAGACAAGCCCAAAAAACTCCCTCTCAAAATACTAATCGGGAAAACCATATTGAGACTGAGGAAAGCAGCAGAAACTAGGCCAAACCTTTCCATTTAATGTAATTGACAACATAGGATACACTTTCTTTGAGGCCACAGTGTGAAATTTGAAAGTTTTCAACAAAACGTTCTAAGAAAAGTGACTGTGGAAATAAGTGACTGGTGCAGGCTCTTCGGAGAACATCAATTGCAGCTACATATAGGATACAAGAAAGTAGTGCAGGAATGAATTATCACATAGCCTCAGAATGCTGATTATGGAGGAATATTATGAAAGTGACAGAAGAGTACAATAGCAACATCATGTTTAAAGTGGGAATGAAAATAAGATCAGCTTTTTGGGAATATGGGTGATATGGTGACAACACCCTTAAGATCAGCTTTTTGGAAGTATGGGTGACATGGCGACTATGCCCTTAATGATCCCTCTATCTTTACATATCTAGCTATAAAGATACGACAATTACTCAAGTATATAGGTACAAAACGGAGGAACTCTTTGGACTTTGAGATTCAGAAGAGACCTATAAGATTGGAAGATTGAGGGAGTTCCAAAATACATGAAAGGAACATCATAATGTAACAGCAATGTCAGACCAGGCTGCTTGGAAATGGAATGGGAGGAGAATGGAATTTTTGGTTAAGTCCTTCTACCACATGCTACTGAGGAGAGAGGATATATTGTTCCATTACCTATCAGTATGGACTCTTAGGGGTCGTTTGCTTCACATATTAGTTATGCGTGAATTAAAATGTAAGGATTGTTTATGTGGTGATTAATAATGAAGGGATCGCTATGCGGCGATTAATAGTGAAAGGGATTATAGTACGGTGATTAATAAGGAATGGATTGTTATACAAGAATTACATACTTTAAAAGCATTTGTCTTGTAAAAGTTTAATCCCGATATTGCTAATACACATATTCTTATTCCACATTCTATCTCGCATAAAATAATCCATATATTCCCACATAACTTAATGTGGATATATTATTAATCCCATCAACCAAATGCTGCATTAAGTAATGCAACGATTTTTTTTCTTATACGGCAACCAAATGCTGCATTAGTGATGCGGAGTTTTGTTATGTGGCTAACCAAACACTGTATTATTTTATTTGGGATTTTATGTTGAGATTGATTATGCCAATACAATCAGTCAAACGACCCCTTAGAGACAAGGAAGGTTTTTCTTTGCCATGGGCAGCAAGGAAGCAAAAATTTGAGGAAAGGAAAGTTAAAATATTTCAGTTAGTTTTGGCTGTGAAGCGATTGGGTAAAGATGACAATCTTCAGTTTTGCTATTCAGTTCCGGTGGACAAAATCTGTTCGGAATACAGTAATCAATGCCGGATACAATCAAGGATGCGATGTTTTGGAAAAGAAGATGCAGAACATGACATGTAGTACCTTTGCCTATTACATGGATACTTGGAGAAAAGAACATGAAATCTTGTGAAGGCGTGGAAAAAGAATGTCTAGATAAGGGTCTGATTTTGTTCCTAGTTAATTTTTATACATCCATGAGGTCCCTATTAATACCAATGACTAGGTGTTATTTGTAGATAACCAGATTTTTGTGTAAATTCTCCACTTCTGCATACCGCGTGTATACCGAGAGATTTTTCATCTCATTGATATAATTGTTACTTTATGAAAAAAAGGATACATTTTCTTAGAGGAGCTTGACATATTCAGTTCATACTGCACTGGTGCGGAAAATATATATTGCACCTGAGACCAGGAAATTGTGGGAAATTAAAACTAGTATTTCTCAAATTCTGCCAAGGGTTTTCGTTTATTTATGAGGAAATATATCGGGGGACCGAGTAACAAGTATTGGGGTTAGTAGCTTAATCAAGCCAGCTTATTATATTTTGTATTTCAGTTATAATTTTTAATAAAAATAACAATTCTGTGCTTCAATTATCAAAAATTTATTACTTCTGAAGAAAACTCAAAGCAGATTTTGTCCCATAAAAGAAACGATATCAACATTTTCAAAACAAAATGATGAAAACAAGTTCAAGTAATTGCAAGCCTATCAGTGGTTGGTTCAATTTACTGGAGGGTATAGCTAATATTGAAGTGCTGAAATTGGCTTTTATCAACCAAGATGAATAAGTCAACGCCGATAAGAACAATAAGGCTTTGCTAATTCAGGTTTTAAGTTAGTGCTCTTCTATTAGAGTACTTAATGATGCACGCAAGTATGATAATATTGGGTTGTGCAGCTCTTTTATGTTGGATCATTATCATCCATAGCGATTCCCCAATCTAAGGAACAAAATATCCAACTTTTCAAAAAGTCAATAATTGTCAAACTACTATTCATACATGTGGATCAGCCAGAAAAAAACAAAATGAAGATGAGAACAACAAATAGAGACCTGCCACACTAAGAGAACAACAAAACATAGATATGCAACACTAACTTACGCATTCAGCAACATTGCTGAAGACTGAAAGATACAATTTGAGAAGAATAATCTTAACCTAAGGCTGACAAGTGGGCCGGTCTAGGACCGGGACCGCGGGCCAGGACCGATTTTAGTGGGCCTGGGCCGGTCTCGTGGGTCGGTCCTATGCTTTGGGACCGCCAGGACCGGGACCCTCGCGGGCCAAACGGTCCCAACGATCAACTTTAAAAAAACAAAATTAAAAAAATTGTCGTTGGGCTGTCAAAAATAGCCGTTGGCTATTTATAAAATAGTCATTTAAGCCCCCCCCCCCCCCC